ATCATTAGCTACAACGAAGGGCATGTAAGCTTCCGGCCACTGCGAGACATCAGACAACGTGGCTGATGCACTCCATCATGACAATCTGAAGCTCTCTCTCTATGTATAAAAATGGCAGCAACACAAGGAGAGAAGGATCCAGAAAAAAAAAGGCAAAAAAGGGGGAAAAGAAAAAGAGACACAAAAAATCACAAAAGCAACGTTCTCTAACACCAGATTTCTGGTTAAAAAGCAAGCCGAAAACCTTTTTCTAACCACCGAAAAAACTGATCTCTTATATCTCGACCTCACACAAATAAATAAGATATTAGTGGATGTAGGCCTTATTCTCTTTCTGATTGAACCACTTTAAAAACGTTAATTGTCTCATCATCTCCCGAGAGGCACATCGCCACCTTGATCGCTGCTGCATGCAATACAAGTCTCTTATGTTGATTCCTAGGAATCACACACCCATCTTACTTGGTTTTCCTCGGAGTCAACCGAGTATCTCTGGTTGATGTGTGTCTTTGTAATGCCCACATGGAGGTACGTAATTTAATTTATGCTCTTATACCTTTAGTTGATTTTCACTAAAGTTATTTTGAGAAAATGTGAAGAAAATGCCTTAAACTTGCATTAAGGGTAAAATGGTCTTTTCACTCAAAATTAGTTGAAAAAAGTGGGGAGTGAAAAGAAATAGAATTTCATGGAGAATGCAATAAAAATGAGGGCATTATGGTAATTGACTAAGGGACATAGATGAAATTTTAAAGAAAGTGCGAAGGCAAAATGGGAAACTATATATATTTTTATGTTATATCAAGGGTTGAAGAGTGAAACCCTAGCCATTTTTCAACCCATTTTCACGCCACTTCTCCTCCAAATCCTCTCAATTTCTTCGCTTCTTTTTAAAAAAAAATTCATAGATTTTGGGTATTTTGAGTGGATTTTCAATCCCAAGCAACTTTAGGTAAGATCCTTGCACTAAGAAGTGATTTTTAATTTTTGAAGTGTTGAATTTTGATGGTTTGTGCTTATATGATTTAAGAGGAAGAGAGTTTGATTAAGAAGATTCTTAAAGGGGTTGGATTGCTCATATCAAAGGTAAGTAAATCCCACCCAAGTTATGATTTGAGAAATCAAGTGTATAGAGATTTTACATATATGTATATGCTTATGATTTTGAGAATTGTTGATGAAATTGATGAATTATGGATGAGTTTGATGATTACTGATGAGTAGAATTTAGCCATGAGAAGTGGTTTTGGTTGTATAATGATTACTTGAAATTTGGTTGTAGTTAGAAAGAGTTGAGTAGAATTTTTGGGAGTGTATTGTTTTGGACAGGTTTAGTAATTGTTTAAGGGAGTTTTACTTCAAATATTGGTGGCTTGAGAAAGAGATAGAATTGTAGTCAAATTAGAGTTTGATTATGCATGCAATATGTTTGATGAAATGTCCAAGAGAAGTTTATGCATGAGTTTTATTCATTCATGAATTGATATGAGTTTGTAGATGGTAGAGAGGAACTTATTTTTATGCTACATGGCATCCTTGCATTTAAACTTTTGCATTTAGAAAGAATCATAAGCATGAAACCATCTACATACATAAATCTTCATAAGAGCATGAAAAAGCACTAAAATATGTTAAAGAGGAAATAGAAAGAAATGAGAATATTAAGATATTCAAATCTGAAATTTTAGTTAAAGAAGTGTAAAAAGATAAAAAGAAGAGAAGGTTGTTGCGATGGGGAGCCCGTGAGTGACATAGTCCCACATGCACGCCGCCTTTAGTAAGCGGCCTCAGAATTCTAAAAGAAAAATTGTACAGTCCGTTAGAAGTGCATGTGGATAAGGACTGTACCCAGAATTAGAGAATTCACTTACACGGCCAAGGCTCCAAATCCATGCCTCAACCGAGCCAATCGGCAAGAAAAGAAAGAATAGAAAGAAAGAAAGAAATAATAGAAAGAAAGAAAGAAAAGAAAGAATAGAAATAAATAAATAAAGAATAAGAAACAGAAAACTGAATGAGAAAAATAGAAAGAAAATGCATAATCTATGCATTTGTGCATTTGCATCATGAATATGCATAATACCATGCTCATTATCGTGAGTAGTGAAAAATTAGAAAATTGAGAGAAAAATAGTGAGCAAAACAGAGAAAGAATGAGAAAGAACAGAGAAAGAATAGAGAATACTAGGGAAATGAGTTGTAAGGAAAGAAAATTCAGAATTTAAGCAACGAAGAGAGAAGGGTAGCATAGCGGGTTTACTTACTAAGCATTTAGTGCTCACTCCGTTATTTTCAATATTTTTGCAGGTAATAGGTGAGTTGCGGTCACTCAGAACGTCATGTGGTGGAAGGGATGAGCTACACTGTCAAGTTGTTATTTTGAGTATATTTGTATATAAAGAAAAATTAAATATGGGCTCATATTTTATTACTCGTTTATATATGTATTTATTACAGTCTTCGTCTCGACGCTCTAGCCGGTGCGGAAATTTGGATAAACACTTAGCTGCTCTAATATGGGATTTTTGTACATTTTTTCTTAATTTCTTATAACATTACCTTACAAATAACATATTTTAGATAGCAATTTTCTTAAGTTAATTTTACAAGTGCTGCATTTTTAAAATTTTTCATATAGTACATATAAAATAACTAAATAGGTACCAGGATTCATCTTCATCTAAGGTAAACGAAAAGGTGGTGCAATGCACCTATTATGAGTTGACGGGGCCTTCCTTCCAGAACCAAATGTTTGAGCATAAAATGTATTTGTCCAAAAATGATAAGTTCGGGAACTGATCACAGTAGGTGCAAAGACAGAGAACTGATGGAGATTACAAGAGTACACAAGAAATAGTTGATATAAAGTGCTAGCATAAAAGCTAAGTATGAGTAATTTGTCTTGTGTAGTAGAATTGGAGCCTTGTAGGTGAAGAATTAGCCTTGTATGGTAGAATTAGGCTTTCTCCCTCTTCTTCAATCTGATGTCCTTATATAGGGCTTTTAGGTCATGTATGGTTACTTGTTCCTGAGGTTTATGAATCATTGTTCACTATTTTTTGGGTCATTGGGCATATTCACATGAATACTCTTTTTTATCTCCACTTCCCCATTCTTAGGGAAGTGAGCTATAACTTCCTCTTTTATGGGTTCTGGGCCTTTAGGCTTTTTTTTATTGAATTGGACTTGAGTCTTTTAACTTGGACTTGATTTCGCTGATAGCTTTGCCAAGCGGTATGGTTCAAGCATAATCGCAATTAATTTTGAGTTAATTAAATTCAACCATTAAATATAAACAAGAAACAATTTTTCTTTTGTTAAAAGAAAAAACAAATTAAGATCAAAAAGTAATTTTTATATAAAATGGAGAGTATCATAACTTCCCAAAAAAAAAAAAAAAACAAAAAATGAAAAGACCCGATATAGCCTTCTCAGCCAAATTTGTATGAACATTTAATTGTGTTGATCTATGTTGTAAAGTGGTGGAGTTAATTTTAGTTGTAATTAAAATAATTATTATTTTGAATATTTAATTTAATATGAAATAGTCTCCCCTAAATTAAATGAAATACCTCAAACTACCGTGAATGATTTTTACTAAAATGTTGCCATTTAGATAAGTGATCATGAAAAATGGATTCCGAGAGATATATTATAACATTAATTAAGGTGAAGCCATTGTCATACAAAATTTTGACTCAAATTTATAATAATTTATTTTTATTTTTTATTTTAATCTCATGTAATTCAATGGTGTTAAAGTTACTAAAATGACATTATATTTAACTTCTTTTTTAAGTCTATAATTACATTATTTACATTCAATGACGAAATTGAAAATTGTGTTCTGGGATTAGAATATATATAATATTTAGTGAATGAAGGTGATTATTTAAAAAAAATTATATTTAATAGAAGAATATATATAATATCTAATGAATGAAGGTGATTATTTAAAAAATTATATTTAATAGATATAAGTTCAAAATTTAAGGATAAAATTTAGATGATGAAAGTATTATTTTATATATAAAATCAGTTTTTTACAAGTTCGGAATTTGTGATAACTCAAAGAAATTGAAGTTTGAGGCAGCGAGCTAAGCTCGACGGAGCGAGCTAAATGAACAGTTATATCACAGGTCACAAATAAGCCTTATACCCTTTAATCAAGAAGGTGAATGCGGTATCAGATCATGTAGTCCTGGATTTAACATGATTGAGCTAATCATGGGATTAACTCCCTATGTTTAAGCCACAATTCTTAAAATCTCTCATTTAATTGTTATCAAATTTTGTATAAATTACCTCAGAAAATTCATTATAATAGTTAGCAATTTTAGAGAGATTAGACTTATTTTTGTACTCAAAACATTAATTAGGCTTGAGAGTCAATATCTCGTCCAACCACTTTAAAAACTATTCAGTGTCTTGTTTTTATTATTCTTTGTTGATTTTCATTAATCATGCATACATCCAATTTGATTTCTTCAAGGTCAATCGGGTTTCTCTGGTTAATGTAAATTTTTGTATCAACAACCTAAAAATTATAAGGTCTGAGGTAGGAGTTTGCCATTGATTACATTAAAACAACAATTATAAATTGGTTTATAATTTCACTATTAATTTGTGTTATAATAATTTTACTAATTTAATTATATTATATAAATAAATTGCTGACCTAGTGACCTTATCAACCCGTAGTATAGTACTGTAATATTTACGTTTGCTGGAATTTAATTAAATAAAATCAATCCAACTGGTCGACACTAAATATATAATAATAATAAATCCTCTTTCCACAACATCATGATTACAATTAATTCTGAGTTAATCAAGTTCAATCATTAAACATAAAAATAAATAAATAAATATTTAAAGACCAGAAAATTATTTTCATATAATATTTGAGAATATTAGTAAAAAAAAAAAAAAAACAAGTGAAAAGACCTTTACAGCCATCTCAATAACCAAAGCAAGAAAACCCACCCACCCCCAAAAAAAAAAAAAAAGATCAAGAAGGATGAACCCTATTAGAAGAAACTCCTTTCCAAGCTGATTTCATGGAAGCAGAAGCCGAATTCATGGCGGCTTCAATATATTTTTTTGAAGCAATTGTGGCTGCTTTCTCCATCAACTTCCCCATTTTTCTGGCCCTTTCACCATTCTCAACGAGGCTATTCATTTCCTTCTTTGACATGCTCTCCGTTTCCTCTTCAAATCTCCTGAACTCGTCCATGCAACTCTCCATCACCGATTCGAGATATTCTTCAGCTTTTTGCATGGAGGTTTCGGCCTCTTTCGCTTCTTCTTCTTGCTCAAGTTCGAGGGCGGCCCATGACTTGTAGGCTTCGATCTCGAAGAGCTTCATCAGGTCTTCGATGTTGGATGGATCGAAGTTCTTGTCTTGACACGATTGGTCTGAGAGGAAAGTGAACTGGGAAATTAGAGCTTCCATATTTTATGGAGTGAATTTTGGTGAAGTTTTCAGATCTAAAAAGTAATGGAAATTGAGAAGTGGGTGGGAAGGAAGAGAATAATCATATATTTATTGGATGGTTATCCATAAAGAATATATATATATATAATTTTTCTTTTTAAGTTTTTCTTGCCAGACATTAAGAAACACTGTTAAATATTAAATTTGTCTTAAATTGAGAGATATATAATTATACATAGAATAATTTGAGCTAAATAGCAGCCTTGAAATATTAATTTAGAATAAATTACCTACATTTTAAAAAAAGAAATTAAATATGTTTAGGAAAGCATATATTCTCAGCCAAATTGCTCAAAATTGTTCTTGGTTTGATGGGCAAAGGGTGTGACAATTGGACCGTTGAGTTCCTTTTTGTGTCTATAAATTAATTATAAAAAAGCAAGAATCTTGTTTGTCAATGAATGGTTATGGAGTGTTGAAAATGATAGAGACATGGATGGATTTTCTTATCTAATTCATAGTTGGGAATATCAGTATAGTGGAGAATGGGGCCATTCTCATTTCCCGTTTGACTTTGTCTCTTCATTGTTTTCTTTTCCTTTTCATTTTTATTGCAAAGTTAGCTTTCGTTTAGGTGGCTTTTATTGCAAAGTTATCTGAGTTCCTTTTTGTGTCTATAAATTTTCTTCTCTTCATTCTTGTTTAGGTGGCTTCATTGCAAAGTTGCATCAACAATCTCAGTATATTGTTGATGCAATATTTTACACCAATTAGAGCGATCTGATTGACCTTGACGAAATCAGAACCAATGTGTGCGTGATTAAAAATAACCAACAATGTATGAATGTAAATGCAGCAAAGTAATGACACAAAAGGTTTTTAAAGTGGTTCGAAGGGTTATGATCTTGGGCCTACGTCCACTATTTTCTTATTTTGCTATGAGAGCTTACAAGAAAGTAATAGAATTCCTAGAACAATTTGCTAACCCCTTATCTATCGTTGGAAGAGGTTTATATACAAGTTTTGTACAAAGGAAAGAGGAAAAATAAGGGGATTACAATCAAGATTAGAATGCAACTCCGATATCCTCACGATTGAGCGTTGAGATTGCGCTATGATGGTTGTTGATCTGATCCCTTTTGAGATATTCGGGATCTGAGTTTATTTGTGATATGTTTGAACAACTGTCAAGATTGGTTGCGACTAGCTTATGCTAGGTCGAGCTATATCTCGACGAGCTTATGTTGGGTCGGACAATCGTTTGAGTCAAACTGGTTCTGGGTCGGGCTATTACCTCGCAGAACTATGACTTCTCCGAGCTTGATGGAAAAATCAAACACAACATCTGCCCCTAGTGTTCGGTGCTCGTTTTGAGCTTCGAAGACTAGTTGCTCGATTTGATGTTAAGCTCAGACTTCGTAGGTTGTGTGTTGAATATAGATTTTGTTGAGCTTGATCTCAGTCAACGTGATCAACACTTGGCTCTTTTCTGCTATGGCATTCTCAATAAACTCGGAATTTGAAATGAACAGCATGTGAGTAATTTTCACAGGATCATGTCACATTAAATGCAACTGGCTTTTGCAGTTACTTTTCATCGTGCGTGGCAACTACAGTTGTCCATGCGCGAAATCGAGGAGATGTGTGACAATAGTTATAATTGTAGAGGTCTAACGGTTGATTGACCTTTGTGGATGATTGACATGTGGCCATGTCAGTCAGTCAGGATTGCTCGACAAATGGAGGGCTGAGATTTGCTGTAGATCGACAGTTACGGTCGAATCCTACCACTTCGTCTCCCATGCACACCACTATAAAAGCGGGCAACCTTCGTAAAAAACTCACACACTTTGCAAAAATGCTCAGACCTTTTTTGCTTTTGCTCCGTCACTGTTCTCTCGACTTCATGGCATTTTTCCAACGAGTCTCCTTCACTTTTACACTTCGGTAAGGCTTCCTTCTCCTCTTTTACTTGTTTTTACATCTTTTGTTGTTGACGTGGGCCATTGGCGTGGTCACATTAGCTTTTTCTAGGGTTTTTTGAGTGTTCCCGTCGGTTTTGGGTTTTAAAAGGGTTTAACGAGGTGGCTGCTGGAATTTTGGTAGCTTGCTCATATATGTTGATCGATGCGTGTTAGTGTAGATGCCTTAGAGCTAATCAATTATTGTAGAATTGACTCTTTGTAATAATGTTCATTGATCAATAAAAAACATTTTATTCTATATCGCGTAAATCATCATTGTATGTATTGATATATGTCCTTAGAATGGTAGAACCGTGACGAGGGTATCAAGTGTTTCAAATCTTGATAGTGAGAACCCTATGAGCACATAAGGTGGCTATTCTAGAAATGTCCGTAGCCCTAGTATTATTCTGAAGTAAGGGCACATATAATACGGTAAGACTATCATAGTGTTGAACGACTCTGTCAAAAGGCAGTGACTGATCTCACTTATCAAGGTTGTTTGGTGACAACCTGGTGCAACACATGGGTGCTTGTTGTAGGCAAGTTCACTGGACTGACCTACCAGAGGATTCCATATGGATGGTAACCCTAGTGTCTATGGAACCAATCCTCTAACGAATGGTGGTGCATGTGATCCTTAGACTTGAGATCACCGGAGCGCCTTGTGCATCGATTGGTGTAGTTTGACACTAGCTTAACGCAGTTCTATTAAGAGCTGTCAATATGGTAGTGATTGGTTGCATCAAGGAGTGTATCAAGACTATGGTGGATTGACAGAAGATTCATCACTCCCAGGTACGGGAGAAGTTATCTCACAGCGCAATTCAGTAAATGACAATGACGCTAAAACTGTGGCCACAGTGGGATTGAGTTATTGCTCGATCCAGTTTATAATTCAGGTCATTGGTCTAGTAACTGAATACATAATATCGAGAGTAATTGAGGTTGACACTATTTCTATGTCTCGGTCTCGTCAAGATAACGTATGATGAAAGGATTGGATTGTACGGTAACCATATCGTTGACAGGTAGCTGCTTTGCTGAAATCGAATCTATCGGGTGGCCATGATGTCTTGCTAGGGGCCAATCTTGGCCTGTGTGTAGTGAGACGATTAATTGGTGTTAATGCGATACTACACACTACCGGTATGATAAGGAGCCTACAGGTCACATACATAGAAGATAATTTAAGAACCTATTTAAAAGAAGGGCGTTTTCATCATTTTAGGCGAAAAGGGTATTTTGGTAATTTCACAGTGTAATTAAATTTGCTGAGGTCATAGCATTTATTTAATTTTTTAATGAAATTAAATGAGTGAAATTATATTTAAATATGTGTTCGCATATATTTAAATGAATTATTGTTATTGTTAAAAGTTAATATATGAAATATATATTAATTGAGTTTAATTGAAATAACAATAATGATAAAATATCTAATTGGTGCTGTTTGGATATAGGGGTTGTTTGGGTTGGTTCCCAAGCCTATTCCATGATGGAATAAGGCAAAGTGTGCACTATATAAGTGCAACACTTTGTGAGAAATAATAATTAATTCATTCAATCATTTCAAGAGAAATTCCAACCCCCTTTTTCTTCTCTTCCATGCCACTTCATCTTTGATTGAATCAAAGTTTCATTTGATTTTTGTTCTTGGTTCTTAAGGCTAAAGAGGATCTAGCAAATCCCTCTTTAGTTCGTTGGGGATTATCTTTGTGTGGACTACCGCTGGTTCGATCCTATTCTTCGGTTGGTAGCAAAACCCATTATGAGACAAGTTGGAGGAGCCTCCAAACGTGGGTATGGTTTCTTAACCTTGAGCTGATTTTTTTTGCAGATATAATATGTTGTATAAACTGTAAATTTGTGCCCTGATCTTGGTTCAAAGGAACGATCTATGATGTTTATGTTTTTGTTTCCGCTGCCATAACTTGATTGTTTCCTAAAAGTGGTATCAGAGCCATGCGTATCAAATTTTACAGTTTATTGTATGATTTATAACATGTATTTGGTTGATAACATGTTATTTTTTTTAAATCTGCAAAATTTGCAAAATCTACTGTTGAATGAATGATTCAATTGATAAATTGGTTTAATAATGTGTTGATGAATGTTATATTGGTTGGTTGGTATCCTGTCGAATGTTTGTGCGTTTGATTTGATTCGGATTCGTGTTATTACATGAAAAAAACTGCAAAACGCGAACTGTGCATTTTGGGATTTCTAGACTTTGCCACCGCGACGTACTTGCTAGAATTCTTAACAAAGTTTGCTTCGTTGCAGCAAAATACAACTTCGCCGCGACGACGAAGCTGTTGTCCTAATTTTGTGTTTTTTGCGAAGGGACCAAACTGCAGTTTTTAATAACCTATAAAGCTAAGAACCATTCTGCACATATAAGAGGGTAATTAATTATTAACCCACCCAATTCAAAAATTGATTGTTTTTGAAATGTATGCTACGTACTTGTTTGTATATTGCATGGTGCCCGGTACATGAGCCTTATGACTTTTGGTGAATGTTCTAAATTATTTTTGGGTATGTATGGTTGCAAATTTTAAAATAGGACCTGCGTGTCCTGCCTATTTCCCCTTTCTCCATGTACGTTCGTCTCATCTTATTCCCTTTGAATGTAAATCGAGGTTTCTAAATTTATTGATGTAAAATTAGTTTGAGATTAATTTTATTGTAAAATTAGTATGATGTTTTTGTAATGTACTTGAGACGGAGCAAATGACGAGGCAATCATACTTGAAGACTTAAGATATTTATTACAGGACCCCTAGGTGACCTACCGATTCCTCTAGACTCGAGGAAATCGGTTTTAGTTGGGCCATGTACCGACATGTTTTAATATTTTGTTTAGAATGCATGCTAAGGTTGAATGTTCAAGAACATGCCAAACAATATCATTCTAACAAAGATAATAATCTCGTGAGACACTAAATAACAAACTGTAACACCCTACCTGAGGTACGTACTTAAGATTGTCTGTATTACTTAAAGGATTCATTGTTTCAGCTTCAATTGAGTTTGTTTGTTGTCATGGTTGGTTGGTGAGTCTTTAATTTAAAATGGTACGTTGTACTGGTTAAGTGTTGCCTTGGTTTTGGTTGAAATTTGGTAAAGTTTTGAAATTCGAGCTTCGCCGGGGCGAAGAAGAAGTTTCGCCGCGGCGATGAGGAGCTGCACCCACGGGTAGGCTCTACCGTGTTTCGCCGGGGCGACGTATTGTTCTTCGCCGCGACGAAGAGCCTCACAACAAGGTTTTTGAGTTTTCTAGAGAATCCTTCTTTGGGGCACATTGACCTTTCTACCCCTAATTAGTAGGAAAAGTGGGGAGTAAAATGTAAGGAAATTTAGTAGAGA